AGCCCAAAATCAACCCAATCCAACCTTATTCAAAGTATCCGAACTCAATTCGGAAAAGGAGTCTACAGTTTTGCAAGCCGATTGTTGCTGCAATCACTGAATTGCATTAAAATAGCATAAATCTAGACGTTTGTATCGGGACTATTGGGTGGCTGACACAATATTTTGATTTTGAACCGGATTTTGGCCATTTTGTTTAAATTTCGGGCAATTTTCCAATAATCATGTTCTTATACTCATCTCTAGTTACATTAGAAACCACTTTCGTTTCAATGCTCCAATTTTTACTGCTCCGGTTAGCAGGTTCCAAAAACACAAAAGGCTAAATGCCAAGTTTTCCATCCAAGTTCTTATTTTCAGAATGATTCCAACGTGAATGAGCTACAGCTGATATAAGAAGCCAACGTACGAATATTACGTCGATTATGTAATGGTTAATGGTACTGACTTTATTAGCGCCATCTCAATATTTTTCGGTTTTCAACTACTTCAGCACCATCGGCTAATGAGTTTCGGGCTTGATGCCAAATTCGGCTTACAGTTTTTACGGATACACTAAATTTGTTCGCTGTCATCTAAATTAGCCTTGTTTCAGTTTGCTATTCTTACTCAATTCCTGTAACGCATGATAAACGGCTTGCCTTGTGTTGGGACTTAACTTTGGTCTTTTACGACCGTTTCTTGTCAAAATGTTTTCCTTCTCCCACTATTTTCTTAAACCGGATCTTTATGCGAGGTCCTCTTTACTGTAGGAAAAATTACAGGCAGTGAAAAACTTAACCTTTAATAAGTGTTTTCAAAACGATATCTGACGTTTAAAAAAGTAAGGCGTAAATTTCTGAACGGAGGGAGTAATAAATACAGGGTGGTTCATGAAGAATGGTACATACGTTAATATGTTACAGATTCATTTTAAGCAGAAAAGCTCCTAAAAATATGTGCTCAACTCTCAAAGGTACCTGAGATACAACCAGTTAATGCATAAACTGATTTATTTAAATGTGTACATAAAATATCGAAATTCGGACTTTAAAGGAAGGGTTCGAATATCGCACCGCCTAACTCGATGCACTTGGCTGATTTTTTGAAGATATCAAGCACTGTGCTGCGTAATTTATCCTGATGTGCCTTAATTTGTGCAGTACTGGCCGCAATGCTCGTATATTAGCTCATCACACGTGTTTACTTTTACTTCATAAACATCGCTTTTCAACCATCCCCACATTCCGTAATCTAACGGATTAAGGTTCCGGAAAGGTTTGGTTCAGGTATAGCGTCACTTGACGGTCGTAGTGAGCAAGGGCCCCATCATGCTGGAAGAACATATTGGCTTTGGTAGCCAAAGGAATATCTTCTAACAATATTGGAAGCTCATTACAAAAGAACTCTAAATATCTGTCCGCTGTTAGACGCTCGGGAAGTACGAAAGGCCCAATTAAGTTATTGTCAATCATTCCACACCATACATTCACAGAGAATTTTACCTGAAAATTTGTTTCAACACTGGCATGCAGATTATCCTCAAACCAACGGTGATCATTTTAACTGTTATATTCCATTACGGGTGAAAGTGGCTTCATCAGTAAAAAGTATCACATGAGTACCACAAAATTCCAATCTCCGGGCAAACTCTGTTGGTTCAAGGTGTTGTACTGATGAGGAACACTAAGACGAGCAGAAAGCCTTCTTTGACTGGTAGATGGACTACGTTCTACCGACTAAAGAATTTGTTCAACTTCATTCAGAGTTTGCACACCTGCACATTGAGAATGAATACTTGTACTTGGAACAGAACCGGTTTCATGCAATCTGTTGAATGTTCGAGTAAATGCTCTTGAATCTGGTAGCACTCCATGAGTCAATATGTGTGCATTATCAACAACCTAGTCGATACGTCAACCAAATAATATTAAATGTCACACAATGACAAATGACTGTTTCACAACAGCCGTGCGTGTTATCAGTTTATGCATTAACTGGCTGTATCTCATTTACCTTTGAGAATTGAGCACATGTTTTTAGGATCTTTTGTGCTTAAAATGAACAAATCTATAACATATTAATGTATGTACCATTCGTTATGAAACACCCTGTATAATAAACAGAACCTTTAAACTTAATCAAGGCTAAGATCTTCTATTCTTGAAGGCAACCTCGGCTTCATTATCTAAGTCGGCAAAATTAAAACGTCCAGCTAATGCCTCGGTTGCAAGCGACCTCAGCTTCATCCTCTCTACCACTAAAGAGATGGTAATCTTGCTAATGTCTTTTTTTGTGCCCAAGCTAATGTCATTACAAAAAGATCTCGGTTTCATTTTCGCAGATGATAAATATAAAAGGAAATCCAGGTACTGCCTCGGCCGCAAGCGACCTCGGCTTTATTCTTTCAACCAGCAAAGTAAAAGCACAATTGAGTTAGCGGCAAGTAAAAAAAGTAATGAAAATAAAGTCTTAAATCGACTTAGCAAAATATACAGTGTGTTCATTAATTATCGTATCCGATGTCATCATTGCAAGTATGCAACCAATATCACACTGAATATATTTGCATCCGCAAATCGTGTATTGCATTACTAATATTGTGATATTGGTTGCATACTTGCAATGATGAGGTTGGGTACGATAATTAATTAACACACTGTAGTTGCAGAGAGCGTGATTTGATGATTATGGCAATAATTGGTGCAATTCTTGCAAAAATGACATAAATAACTCTGAATAAATGCAGTGTAAACCACGCTTATTTCAATTTCTCTTTGAATTACTCCAAAAATTCATTGTTCTTTTTTTTTATATTCTTAGTTTCAAAAAAAATGTTGTTCGATTAATTTTGTAGCAGATTTTCCTGAGAATATTAAATTTAAAGATAGTTCTAATCTAATTCTTAATTATGTGTGTTAATGAATTAATGGTCAATAAATTGATAAGTTTATGTTTTTGGAGAAGACCACACGCATTTATTAGAGATAAAGTGCATTTAGCAAGTTATTTCCGAGTCTTCTTCGAATATCGAACGTGCTACTTCACCACTTCTGGATGACCACTTCTCAGTATCAGTAATGCTTAAGATCTTCTACTCCACTTCCTCGCAAGTCCGACCTCTTAAATCCGCTTACAAGGATAGATCTTCTATTCAACGATCAATAATCATTTCCATTTATAGTTCTATTTTTATAATTTCTATTTTACTTGAGAAATGGGATCGATAAATTTTATTAAACCATTCAGTTTGCCGTCTTGGGTTCATTAACTTTGCCCACCTATTAACTAAGGTGGGTAAAAGCCATCAATCAAAATCCGCTGGACGTAGAACTAACACTGGTTAATGGCTGGTCCGTTTTATGGTCAACGCCGGTGCGTACACGTTTGAACTCGCCGAACCTAACATAGACTAGCATCGACGTTTGTCGCGCACCTAAAACGGGTTGGATCTGGTTATGGGGGCGTTCAATACTCGCGTAACGATTCTCGACGCTCGACAACGGTAAAACACAGAAACATAAATTTGGGTCGTTTGTTTGATTTTTATTTCTTTACATCATCATTTTGGCCGATTTCTAGTCGATGACGTTTTTAGCTGCTGGGTCAGGCCTCCTCTCTCGGCACCCCGATATTGATTTCTATGTCTTATATGCCGGGGAGAACTACTCCAAGTGTCCACAATGGAGAACGTTGATTGTGTCTCGTTTCAATCGATTCGACATTGCGGAGAATTTTTCTTTAGCGATTTAAGTTTCTGTGTTGATTGTACAAATTGATAATTCGAATCAATTATATATCTTGGAAATAGCTTGTCTAATGCGAGTAAGTTTGTCTATGACCTTTGCGTGTTTCATACCAATCCATTAAGTCGACCCAGACGAGTAAAATTATTACTTAGCGAGGGTAGCAACCTCATTCACTCGATAAATTGGCTCTTTCCATTCTACCGTGTGCAAAATTAGCATTTATTACGAAACAACTAATCGTAGTGTGAAGGAATTAAAAGTTGCAATATAAACTCGAACAAAAAAAAAGGAATTTTTTCGTTTTGAAATCACTAGGGAAAGTGAGTCAATGATCGGGTGGGAACGACAGCAGGTGATGTAAGTTACAAGGGGTGTTCAAAATACCGGAAACAGATTGGGGAAGTGCACGTTAAAAGGGTGTCTATTATAGAAGTGTATTTATTTTAGTCATAACAAAAATCGAAGCAAAAATAATGCAAAATTGATTATCGAAGCAGTGAAAGTTGGAACAATTGTGTTTGGCAGATACATTCGGGTCAAAGAGTGCCAACTGTCAGAGGGGAACAGATAGAGATAGAGAATAGACGGGCGCCTGAAAGGCTGAAACTAGCGCCGGCTATAAATTCACGTTCAGACACACAGGACGTTGCCACAGTTTTCGGGGTAACGCAGTGACCTCTATGTCGGGGTCGAATACGTTACGTAACAAACTGAACCCTTCACAACCCCTTTTCATTGCATTGAATTGAGCAAATAACCTGTCCTCCACCTAGTTGTGTAACAACGCTCAAAGGTATTAAATTGAATTGAGCGCCTCCACCAATTCAAACCAATTCAAACCAAAATAAAAATGAATCTTATTATTCGATTCTTTATGCTTTAATATTAACATATTTGGAACCAACAATGTAAGAGAATTTAAAATTGCATCATCACATGTGTGTTTCTGGGTCATCTAAAATAGAAGTACTATTCTTTTAGCCGCAGTAATAAATCACAAAGAAAAAAAAGAATTAATAAAGAAAACCCAACTTACAAGACATTTTTAGAAAGATCAATAATTTTAGTCGACAAAAATCGATTTCATTCAACACAAACACAAATCTTTCTGCGATAAAATCTTGCACTAAAAGAAGATTGCAATATTAACCCCATTCTACGAAGGGTTATTGACCAAACTGAAGCGGGCTTCAACCTTAAAATTAATCCCCTCTCCCAGAAATAAATGCTAATGGTATTTCTATTACTCATCCCAATTTTTTTTTGTTGCAGCTACTGGCCTCGATCCCTTAAATCAATACTTCGACCTGTTCGAATCTCTGGATCTGCACAATACGTCTCGGCCTGGTGTTAGAGGTTATTACGATAAACTTCCACATCAATTGGTGCCTGCATATTCACTACAAGGTAAGATGAATTTAGAAATAGTTTTTATTTGAACACGTTTCTTCCATAAAATAGAGCTTTCTGAGACGCGTGTATAGTCCCAAGTGTATTACAAAGTGAAAAATACCGTCTCCAATTTTAGATAAAAAGGGATGTCGCGAAAGATTTATGCGTCTGCTGGGGTTGCCTCCTCTTTCGTTTCGTGTCCCATTAGATACAAAGTTTTATACGTTGTCCCCATCATCACCGGATTTTCTTGCAACTTATATCCCGCCGCGAATTCCCTTCCTTCGGGAAATCGAGATAAATTCCCCAACCCAACCCCGGGGAAATATTCGCCAATGTCTTGTGTAAAGTCCAAGTTCGATGTAATGAGAAAGAATGGAAGTAATTTCAAGATTTGTAACTCGGCCGTCAAAGGGTAAGTTAATTTTCCGGTAGGGGGCCTTTAATGAACCCGGCCGAGTACGTGATTCGATTTGGATGCTGCCTAACACAGTTTCGTACGCTCCATCACGTCTTTGATGTCACAACACAATTTCTAAACCAATTAAGTAATTAAACGTTTCGTTGTTTTACTTCACAAAAGCAAACAAAGTTTAAATTAATAATAGTAACTTCCCAAAATCGTTAGAAATTTCAAAACACATTAAAAGCTCCCTTTAGAAGTGGATGGAACGATGTCGTAATGCATTCAGAGTTCCTGGAAGCAATTTAGAAAGCGGAATTACCCACAATATTTGAAGCATCCCCATCTGGCTCTAATCTCTGATGTTATAAAACTTATAAGCTCATTTATATACGTTATATAACTTTGACATTACACTTTAGTTTGAAATCAGCAAATTTTAACATTAATTTTATGCATAGCAACCAAGATTCAATATGTTTGGGATGGAAGACATCTTTTCTAGTTCTTCTAGAGCAGTGATGGCGAACCTTTTGAACTGAAAGTGTCAAAATTTTCAAAACTTTTAGTAAATAATATGCTATATCTATAAGATTTATTTTTCGCAGTATTTAACCCAAAGAATAACACCTCACAGTAATACATTAAAGAATATATTGTTAATAACGCCATTGCTAGATTCTTTATGTTACTGTCAGATCTGTTCCAAGTATTCAAAATTTCCAGTTCGTAGTTGCACTCTTCTTCATTATTTAAACAATTCCACTACAAATTTTCAAGCTTCTCTCTTAACTCAACAAATATATGACTCCAAACTCTTTCTTGAAATTCTACCAGTTCTATTTCTAAATTTTCAATTTCCAACCATTGGAAATCATTTAAATCCAAAGTATTGTAAATATATCTACATCTGGATATTTAATTATTTTAATGTTCTCTTCCAGTCTTCTTAATTGGTTAAATCTTTCGCCGAACTATTCAGATAATGAATTATTATATTCTGGTAAAAAAAGTATACACTCCGTTGCATTAATGGTCTTCTCAAGATACTTTTTAACCGAAGAAAATATTTGTAAGTTGCCAAAACCTTGTAATTTTAAGTTTAGTTCATTCATATGAACAGACAAATCTGTAAAAACATCAAATTACTGATCCACTTATCATCATTAATCTGGGGAAAGTTTGCCACGATCCTTCTTACCAAAGTGCAGAAAATTTTGGCTTATGGAGAGGTCGAGCAGTGATAAAATTAACAATTTTTGTTACATCAGACATTACATTATTCAGTTCTGAAAATCTTGATTTAGCACACAATACCTCCTGATGGATAATGTAATAGAATGATACAATAAGATGTCTAACAGTTTCCATAAACAATTTGACGAATCCTTCGAATTTTTTCAAACCATATTTGGACACAATTTTAGAGATATCAATGTTTAAGTCACTGAACGTTTCTATGTTGAGCTATCTATCCTTTCTTTTCCATGTTGAGCTATGGAATAAGCAACATAATATCTTGCTGATGACAATTCCGTACATCTATGTCCATATATCCTGGAAAGGTCGGCTACTGGTACTTCCGCACTTGTTATCATCCAATCTTGATTTTTTATTTTTTTGATTTTCCATTACGCGGCTGGTAAAATGAAAAAATCACGAAAGATGTAACCTGCTAAACTAGCTAACCTAACTATAAAACCTAATTAACTAATAATTATAAATTCAATTATGGAATTTCTTGTCTCAATGGTGGTGTGTCATTTAAAATCACCTCTGACACATGTGTCATAGGTTCGCCATCACTGTTCTAGAGTATCACCAGGATCCGCAACCTGCATAGATAATATATCTTGCGCAGATTGCTAAAGTAACAACAAAAATCACAATCATAACAAATATGAAAAAGATAAGATTAATTACAACAGAGAAAATACTTGAATTCAATCAGAGTCTTCGTGGGATGCAATGGCCAGATGCTCATCTTGGTTATTCCTCCTCTTTCCATACCGCATTCACCGCACCAAGAAAAGATGTCAAATATTGGATATATTACACAATATGGCAACAGTTGTGAACTTGCCTGAACACATTGAAATTTACAAGCGATACAAATTAGAATACAAGCAAGCAATTCAACAACAAAAAGCTATAACTCTTTCCAACTTTATACAAAATAGCGACAATCGTTCCAAAACCATTTGGACGGTAATTAAAAACGAATTCTACCAAAAGAAATTAGACACCAGTAGTGACTATGATGGTCCAACTCCGGATGACTTTGAATTATCTTTGTGAGATTGGCATCCAGATGCCAATTCCTGATTTATATCAATGACTTACCACAAAACTTAACGGCTGATTTGACGTGCCTTTTCGCTGATGATACTTCGCTGTTGGTGACATCTAGAGGAACTCCTCGGAAGGTACGAAGAAGTCGAGCTGGAAGTGAAAGAGTGGTTCGTCAGCAATAAGCTAAGACTGAATGGAAAAAAGACGCAATCACTCATACTTACCAATAGAGAGCCAGATACGGGACATAAGATTAAATTCCTTGGTCTTAACATAGATTCCCACCTGAAATACAATTCACATATAGAATACGTTACAAAAAAATTAGCCACAGCAACCTACCTCATCAGAAGAATAAGGATTATCTCAACCCATGAAGCTGCTACAACCGCCTACTTCAGCCACTTTAATTCCATACTTCAATATGGCATTGAACTTCCAAGCTCTTAATCCAGCAAAAAGAAGCCCTTAGAGCTTTGGTGTGTGCAGGACCACGAGATACGTACTTAGATGTGGAGATTTAGATTGCTTTTGACATTGTGTCAGAAGAAGCCAATACAAAATATTTCCCACCGGTCGGTAGTGAAAACGAAAATACATACTTTTTATCGCCTTCATTTTATAAACAAATTAATTGGATTCCACTTTATCCAAGAATATTGAAAAAGGAATTTGGAAGAATTTGGAACTATATTGAGGGAGGTTCCAGTTAACCGAAAGAGATGTATTAATCTTGAGAATGAGTAAAGACAATCTTAAAATTACGTCAGAAATATATTCAATGATGTCAGAGATGATAATGGAAAGGAATTAAGGAAGATTAATCTTGAGATATTCTCAACATTGTCGGAGGTTCATTCTTATGGATAATATTATGGACTGATAATGACGATGAGTTACAGAAACGAAGTTTGGGAATGACATTTATGTTAGGTTTGGTATTTATATGTTAGGTTTGAGATCTACGATGATATTTAGTGATGGGACATTGATCGGAAATCTTGGTGTTGAATTCTGGAAACATTCGCTGCAGAAGCATATTTAAAGCGATGCAAATATTTACTGTCCCTAGCGTCTACATACTGGTGTCCCTAGAGTTACCCTTCTGCATAAGAACAAAATGAGATATTCATCTCATAGTGATATCCACCAACATGACACTAGGCAGAAGAACAGGATCGTCATTCCACAACATCGCATCAAAAGAGCAAAACAAAGCACTAATTATATGTGCATCAAATTATATAATAAATTGCCACCAACCTATTCTGAGTTGTCATTGCCCATCTTCAGAAGGAAAGTGAAGCGATTGTTACTACAATACTCCTTCTACTCAATAGAGGAACACTTAAATTGCATTTTTTTATTGAATATTATTATGATTTTCTTGTATTGTTCACTATTGTACGCACATTTCTTTGCGACAAATAAATTTTATTATTGTTATTTGACGCTATTCGTGTTCTGCCATTCTTTCTCAAAGATTATCAATCTGAGGTGTTCCACTGGAATGTGACTTGCTGCCTCTACACCATTAAATGGCAATCCATAACCACTCCAAAGGTGATATTGTTTAGATCTAAAACAAATTACATAAATAGAAGTTAGAGAAAATTTTTATACAACTAGAGCACAATATGCGGGGACCAGATAACATTCCAATTTAAGTACTAAAACGTGATGGGGAGCCAATAACTTAAGAGCTAACACAACTCTACAATACCTGTCTATAGTATGGCCAATCACAAAACTGTCAGGGGTCCAAGGGCATAAGTGGTCCATTCTGCCAGAGAAGCTACTATGCAAAAAAGAAGAATCATAAATTAAAGATGTGCTTTGATAAACTTTGAAGTATTGGGGAAGACTGAAAAGTTTAGTTTATGCAGAAAATATTAAAAACAGAGAACAACTAGTAGCTAGAATTATGGATGCTGCAGAAACTATTCGTGCTGATCTTTAGACTGTTAGCAGAGCTACAACTGCAATTCTAAGAAGAGCTAGACTATGTATACAGCAACTGAGTGGACATTTTGAGCAACTAATTCAATAAAGCTGTTTCTTTTTAAATGGTCTACTACTACTTATTTAAAATTTCAAATGCTTGTAGCTCGGTTATGATAACGTTTTGGGTGTATGTTCATTAGACATTTTTGACTTGAAATCACCAAGCTATGGCAGTCACGTCGTGGGACAGCAATCTCAAGCATTCCAAGTCTATACGAATGCATCTTCAAATGGCAGGAGTTGGCATAATAGTAATCTTATGCATGGCTAAAGCAGTACGATAATTTTATTCTAAACAGAAAAACATTGCCATAAAAATAAATGTAATTCTTTTTCAATTCTATGATCTACACCATAAATCGTTGGATACTACTTAAATTAGTCTGAATAAATATGCATGTTGAAATAAGTGATATTGAAATGTTTTTATTGTTTTAGGAAACGACCGGGAGTTAAAGCTACCGTCTAGTGCTTTGAAGAAGATTGTGAATTTGCTGCAGGATTCAAACGAATTTACGATTTCGGCGTATGTGCGTCAAGAAGTGCAAAATGTGGGTGCTATAGTGAGTTTCGCGCGCGGCGACAACCGTTACTTGGAATTGCAATCGAGCGGGCGAAAAAATGAGATTCGGTTCCATTACACATCGGCAGTGGACTCGAAAGTGTACGTGGAGACATTTCCGTATCGGCTCGCGGACAACGAGTGGCACCAAGTGGTTGTGTCCGTGTCGGGTTGGCAGGTCCAACTCTTCGTGGACTGCAAGTCGCTTTATAAGCGTCTGCTACGTCCAGGCGTTTTGGCCAAGAACTTTTCCGATACCCAGCTATGGGTTGGCCAACGCTACAATCTCTTCTCCTTCAAGGTGAGAGGGGTTCTCTCGACTTTATCCTTCTTGTTATATTTTCCATATCATAATTTTTTCCTTTTCATCATTTTTTCCTGTGTGTTTGTATTAAAGTATCTTTTAATTTTTAATTCCAGTCTTACCAACCCCGTATTGACCTAACCGACCTAATTACTAATAAGCGAAATACGGTGGTAAATGGCTAATAAATGGTTTTAAGTTGTGCGGGTGTTGCAGGGTGCCATGCAGGAGGTGCGGGTGATAACAGGTCCTCTAAGCTACTTGACGGCGTGCCCAGCTGCGGATGGTTCGTGCCCAACTTGCGGACAATTCAGCTTACTACAGGATACGGTGGTGGAGCTACGACGGAGACTAACGGAGCTTTCCGAAAGGGTATATGGACTACCATGTAACGTCCCTTAAGCGTTCAGTACAATTTTTTGATTGTATATAATTGTGTGATTTGCAGTTGGTAGCAGCGGAGGGGCGTATCAGTAGGGTGGAAGAGTGCGACTGCCAGAAGTCCTGCCTACGCAACGGGACCATTCATGTCGACGGAGAAACATGGAAGGAGGGCTGTGACCACTGCACTTGCGTGGTTAGTATTCTGTCATTATTATTCCACCCTAATAAAAGTAATAATTTATCTTCCAACCCAATCTTATCGCACCCTTGCACAAGACACAAAGTTTTTTATGACTCCAAAAATTTATGTTTGTTTTTAATCTTACAGCATGGTGAAGTAAAATGTCGACCAACAGAGTGTCCGCCTGCAGATTGCAAATATCCAGTAACACTTAACGGTTCCTGCTGCCAAACCTGTTTAAGTAAGAATTTGAATCGATTTTGCAATAAAATTAATTAAATCAATTTTTATTTTTCCAGAAAAATGTTACATGTTAGGTAAATTCTACGACGATGGCGTTTACGTTCCCTTAAAACCTTGTACCGGATGTATTTGCAACAACGGAAATATGAACTGTACGAAGATAGACCCGAACACTTGTCCACCATTACCCTGTCCACCAGAAGAACAATTCAGTAGAAGAGATGAATGTTGCAAAGCATGCCAAGGTATTTAATTACACCAAATTTTTTTTTTGAGCTTAACTAAAATTTCATCTAACATATTAACGCATATTAACTAACAACTAACCCCTTTCTGTTCGCTTGCACCACCAAAGGAGTGGATTATTGTGCTAAAGGAGACTTTTGCCATGCTAACGCTACATGTCGAAATTTAATGACAACTCATGCTTGTCACTGCAATGTTGGCTTTCAAGGAGACGGCTATAAATGCGAGGGTATAATAAATCATTCGTGATCTGGCCCATTTCCAACATGTCCTTTAACGTTTCTTTATTCATGTAGACATCGACGAGTGTCTAGAGGAAGGAGGTCTTCACGGTCATCACTGTCATCTTAACACGAAATGCGTCAATATCATAGGGTCGTATGAATGCGAATGTCTTCCGGGATACAAGAGGGTGGACAAATTCAATTGCGCAGAATTGGACGAATGCAGTTCGGGGAAACACGAATGCGACGTCAACGCAAATTGTATTAACACCCAAGGGAGCTACCATTGCGTTTGTAGGGATGGTTATATCGGCGATGGAAGAAATTGTAGACGTAAGAATTAATTTGAATGCATAAATTTGATTTAATTAAAAATTTGTTTTAGCGGTTTGTCTTCAAGGTTGTCTTAATGGAGGAACTTGTGTACGACCGGGGAAGTGTTTGTGCAGGCATGGATACACAGGAAGGAGTTGCGAAAAAGATGTTAATGAGTGCGCAACAAACACTCACGGTTGTAAAGGATCCTCAGTTTGTGTAAATATGATTGGGTGGTATTATTGTCAATGTAAACCTGGGTATTTTAGCCCAGTTGAAAATAACGCGTTAGGAGAATATTGCCAAGGTAAATTAAACCAAAAAAATTAATTCATAAGTAATTCATAAATAATTTTTAGATGTGGATGAGTGTCAATCAGGAGAACATACTTGCCACCCAACTGCTCAATGCAGAAACTCAAACGGTGGTTTCTTTTGTGTTTGCCCCGATCAAGCAAAAGACTGCCTAAATTGTATCTATAAAGGCCAAGAAATTAATCATGATCAATACGTAATTCCGGAAGATAAACCATGCACTAGGTGTTCGTGCAATTATGGAGTAGTAACGTGCGAAGAACCTGCGTGTAACTGTTCGTTACCCGGAAGTGAAACGAACGAATGTTGTCCGCAGTGTAATCCTAAATTAGGATGTCGCCATCAAAAGCTTTCAAATGTAATTTTTCGACACGGAGAACATTGGTCGTACGATTGCCAACATTGCGAATGTGAAAGAGGTGAAATCGACTGTTGGGATATGAAGTGTCCTCCTCTTCCATGCAAGAATCCCATTAAAGGTGATTCAGACTGTTGCCCACATTGCGATGACTTCGATCTTTGTTCCTTGGGGAACGTGTCTTTAGCGGCATCTGGTCGACCGTGTTTTTACCACGGGAAGCAGTATAATTCGGGCGCACAAATCTTGAATCCAGATGACCCGTGCGTGTCATGCGACTGTAAGGTAAGTAATTGAAGATAAACGCCGTTAAAGATTCGATGGTGATTTCTGTAAGGTACGGTGCTCATCCCCACCTCTTTGCTGCAATATTTATCTTAATCAGATAACTAATAAGAAATTCAATTACGCGATTATTATGATTTTTTAACTATTTAGCGCCTTCGGTGTGGCTGGTTTTATTTTTCTATTTGTTTTTATTAAATTCGGATCATTAGAATGTCATATTTCACTAAAATTTTAAACAAATATTTCGGAGTTATAGTTGAGGAAAAAAATGTTGAGCTGAAATGTTTGTTGTTTTTTTAGTTTCCATCGAACCGAATCTATCGTATATAGCATGGCTAGCGAAATGTAGTGCTAGAGACTGGCAGATCCGCGGCTAGGCTACTACTAACAATTAACACTAAATTCCCTTGCAGGTGCCGTTCTGCGCCCATCTGGTGAGCAATGTCGCGTGTTGTGTGCATCGGTAAACACATCACTCTAACTACACTCAAATCTCAAAAAAAAAGAGCAAAGACGAGAGAGATAAAATAACAATACACACCTTTAGTAGTGCCTGCTGCCTGACTACGTATTATTATCGTTACTATTTATATCATTTTGTAGTAGTGAGCGATCCTGCCCCCCTAAATCTCGTTCTAATTTTTTTACTCTTCAACACAAGCACTCTACAGATGTGTATCGCTCTTTTGATCTTGACCTCTTAGTGCATGATTTTCTTTTTATCTCTATCGTTTCGTTTAAACGTTCTTTCCTCCTTTCGAGAATTGGATGAACGAATGCAGCATGCTTACACACGTTAGATTTTATTTTCTTGAAAAAATTGTTTATCTTCTTTTATTAATTTGTGGGGACGCACACTTTTTATTTTATTTTTAAAAGTATTTACGATCGCTAAGCGGTTTTTTTATTTATTATTCCAGTGTGGTGACAAATTTTAACCCAACATGTTAGTCCTTATAATTGTCATTTCGCAAAAATATTAAAATTAATTAGACTTTAATCTTTCTAAAATTGTTATAAATCTTTAATATTTTTGTTTAAATGATTTAAGGTAAAATATACGGAACATTTCAAAATGATTTTGAATCTTTACAGTTGTCAGAAAAATTTGAAATTTTCTGTATATCAGGTGTATCAAAAGTTTTGTGCTAAATTACAATCAAAAAGCCTGTAAAAGCGATCTCGCCTTAATCAGGCAAAGCTTTTTAGCTTAGCCTAGGTATTTATCGGTTTTTCTGTGACTTGGTAGCTTTAAAATACCTTCAAAAAACATGAAACTTAATTTTTTCATCATTGTTAAGTATCCTAAGAATGTTTTCATTCAATTAAAACCGTTTTGAATTACACTAATTAGCTTTTTCCATATTCCAAAGTCTTTGAAAACTTTTGGAAAGTTCATATTAATTTTTATGTTCATTTTTACACTTACCAAATAATTTTTATATGTGATGGTATCTTTAAAATCCTGTCTAAATACATTCTTTCACACCCCCTAAGTATCCTTATGATGTTTATAATCTATTAGAACCATTTTGAATTACACCAATTAGCTTTTTCCATATTCTAAAATCTTTGAAAATTTCTGGAATGTGTCCATATTAATTTTTACGCCTTCTTTTGTTTTTGTGAAGCAACCTGAAACCAATTTCAATCGATTAGAACCATTTTTACACTCATCAAATAATTTTTATATTAATTAAAACCCTTTCTAAATATATACAAATTTTTTTTTTATTCTTTCACACCTTCTAAGTATCCTTAAGATGTTTGTAATCGATTAGACCCATTTTAAATTACACCAATTAGCTTTTTTCATATTCCAAAATCTTTGAAAGCTTTTGGAAAGTGTCTATATAAATTTTTGTAACTTTTTTCGCTTTCATGAAGCAACCTGAACACAATTTCAATCGATTAGAACCATTTTTACACTCACCAAATAATTTTCATATGTCATGGTATCTTTGAAATCCTCTCTAAATACATCAAAAATATTTTTTTTTATTCTTTAACACTCCCTAAGTTTCCTTACGATGTTTTTAATCGATTACAACCATTATGAATTACACCAATTAGCTTTTTTCAATATTCTAAAATCTTTGAACATTTCTGGAATGTGTCCATATTAATTTTTACGCCTTCTTTTGTTTTTGTGAAGCAACCTGAACACAATTTCAATCTATTAGAATCATTTTTACACTCACCAAATAATTTTTATATGTCATGGTATCTTTGAAACCCTTTGTAAATGCATCAAAATTATTTTTGTTAATTTTTAACACTCCCTAAGTATCCTTACGATGTTTTTAGTCGATTAGAACCATTTTGAATTACACCAATTAGCTTTTTCCATATTCCAAAATCTTTGAAAGCTTCTGGAAAGTGTCCATATTAATTTTTCTTACTTTTTTCATTTTTATCAAGTAACCTGAACACAATTTCAATCGATTAGAACTATGTTAATGCTCACCAAATAATTTTTATATGTCGTGGTATCTTTAAATCCCTTTGTAAATACATCAAAAATATTTTTGTTAATTTTTAACACTTCCTAAGTATCCTTACGATGTTTTTAATCGATTAGAATCATTTTGAATTACACCAATTAGCTTTTTCTATGTTCCAAAATCTTTGAAAGCTTCTGGAAAGTGTCAATATTAATTTTTTTTACTTTTTTCGTTTTCTCCAAGTAACCTAAGCACAATTTCAATCGATTAGAACCATTTTTACACTCACCAAATAATATACGTCATGGTATCTTTGAAACCCTTTATAAATAATAGGTAAATGGGTTTTCATCCATATTGGTATTGTGATGATCGTTTATTTTTTTACCAAAACACAATTTTTAAATATTGTGATGATCGTTTATTTTTTTATCAAGACACAATTTTTAAATAATTAAAAAATTAACTTAATTCGAAAATTCGACTTAACACTTTTTAATGTTTATTTACTATTATGTTTTTTTTTCATGACTTTTTATTATTTCTTTTTGATATTAACGCTACCTCTTAATGCTATCATAAGTGATATTATTACAGTATATTGTATCTGTTTTTTAAAAAAATAAACAATTTTTATACTTCAATATATTTTATAAATTTATTAACTCTACCGGTTTCGGCGTAGACCATCGTCAGGAGTCTCGTTGTATAAGGTTGAGGTTAGGAAACACATTCTAATTTACATTCAAATTTTGATATATCATTAATAGACTAAACTTAGAAACGAGAATAGGGATGTAGCAGATGTGTCGAGTGAAACATATAATTCCTAACCTCAACCTTATACAACAAGACTCCTGACGATGGTCTAGGCCGAAACCGGTAGAGTTAATAAATTTATAAAATATATTGGAGTATAAACATTGTTTATTTTTTAAAAAAACACCTTTATAAATACATCAAAGTATCCTTACGATGTTTTTAATCGATTAAAACCATTTTGAATTACACCAATTAGCTTTTTTCATATTCCAAAATCTTGGAAACTTTCTGGAAATTATCCATATTAATTTTTCTAACTTTTTTCGTTTTTCTCAAGCAACCTAAATACAATTTCAATCGATTACCACAATTTTTACACTGACCAAATAATTTTTATATGTCGTGGTATCTTTGTAACCTTTTTTAAATACATCAAAATAATTTTTTTTATTCTTTTGCTCCCCCTAAGTATCCTTACGATATTTTTAATCGATTAGAACCATTTTGAATTACACCAATTAGCTTTTTTCATATTCCAAAATCTTTGAAATCTTCTGGTAAAGTGTCCATATTAATTTTTGTAACTTTTTTCGTTTTTCTCAAGCAACCTAAACACAATTTCAATCGATTACCACAATTTTTACATTGACCAAATAATTTTTATATGTCATGGTATCTTTGAAACCTTTTTTAAATACATCAAAAACATTTTTTTTTATACTATTACACTCCCCAAGTATCCTTACGATGTTTTTAATCGATTAGAACTATTTTGAATTACACCAATTAGCTTTTTTCATATTCCAAAATCTTTGAAATCTTCTGGAAAGTGTCCACATTAATTTTTCAAACTTTTTTCGTTTTTCTCAAGCAACCTAAACACAATCTCAATCGAATACCACCATTTTTACACTGACCAAATAATTTTTATATGTCATGGTATCTTTGAAACCTTTTTTAAATACGTCAAAATAATTTTTTTTTATTCTTTTACACCTCCTAAGTATCCTTACGATGTTTTTAATCGATTAGAACCATTTTGAATTACACCAATTAGCTTTTTTCATATTCCAAAATCTTTGAAAGCTTCTGGAAAGTGTCCACATTAATTTTTCTAACTTTTTTCGTTTTTCTCAAGCAACCTAAACACAATCTCAATCGAATACCACCATTTTTACACTGACCAAATAACTTTTATATGTCATGGTATCTTTGAAACCTTTTTTAAATACGTCAAAATAATTTTTTTTTATTCTTTTACACCTCCTAAGTATCCTTACGATGTTTTTAATCGATTGGAACCATTTTGAATTACACCAATTATCTTTTTCCATATTTCAAAATCTTTGAAAGCTTTTGAAAAGTGTCCATATTAATTTTCCTAATTTTTTCGTTTTTGCCAAGTAACCTGATCATATTTTACATCGATTTTGACACACACCAATCAATTTTTTGTAGGTTTTTGGCACGTTACTTTTGATATACCAATACAAAAAACTTTAGCACATCTTTTTATTTAATTTTTCCGAGATTTCTTTCACACAATTGGCACCGAGTTGTGTTTGAAACAAAAATTAGTTTTCGATGATGCATTGAGATAGAACTAATGTTGCATTTTGTTGTTTTGTTCTTTTAGGACGGAAGCCTTTGTTGCAGCTATAGCGACAATTGCAATGACAATAACGAAGGAGTCTCTCGACAATATATTAGTGCAAGTGATAGCGAGAGTGCATTGGTTAGTGACGTTCCGCGACGCATTAACGACGGTGACGTTTCGACGCCTGATGGCGGTTGAAAATAGCGGGGTGCGGTGAGGTGAAAAGTTACACCGACGGTCTCTACATTCCTCGGAAGGCATCATAATAGGACTTACAGTATAAATTTTTCGGTGCGAAACGGCGGAGATTGCGGAGGCGAGAAGAAAATAACAGGAAAATAAAAAATAAGTAAAATGTAATGTAAAGCGAAACAAAAATAAAACCGATAGAAAAAAAATGTAGATAAGGCGACTAAATACTACTAAGAAATTGAAAAAATTAATAAAAATAGAGCAGTACCCGCCTGCCGCTTGCTAGGCCATCTTTTTAAATGAAAAAAAAGTGTCTTCCTAGTTAATCTAGCCAGGCAGATTGAAATAATCGATGCAGCTTTTATTATTGTTGTTAAACTGACGCCCAGCTGCAAAAATAATAAGTAAAACGAAAAAAAAATAATAAAAAAACTAACGCTGTATTATTAAAGATAAGTCTAGTCAAAAGAAATCATTAAATTTAAATCAATTTAAATTTAAATGAAAGTTACTAAATTAAAAACAAAAAACCGAAAATAGGCTTTTAAAATTTTTCAATCAAATCATGCGGACGAAGATGAAATTCGAAAATGGGATTTATATTATGGAAGCATATCTAGCTACGTTTAAATTTTTGCAATATTGAAATTGTGATATTGTTGTATGAGACTAATTATAGGGTATAAGGTTCTTTTTCCATTAAGTGTACAAGTTAGTTCCTGAACAACAATGCTTTGGCGTGACACAAAGAAGATTTAACAATTAAATCAATTATTATAAAAAAATAAATTAATCGAATCGTAACAAAACGCGACAATTTTTTGGGCATTTAAAACTGGACTATATAAAACTATATATAATTTCTTTGTCACGTTTTGATACGAATTGAATTGAACTGATTGAAATTGAAAAAAAAAATTCGCATCAAAATGGATTCGAATTAAAAACGATTAAAATTCGAATTAAATAGATTCGACAAGAACAATTTTTTTTAGAACGATCAATTCTAAAAAGAATTAAGAAAAAATTAATGAAATAAAATTGATAGTAGAGGATGTATTAAACAGGGAAATGACGTACTTAGCACAAATACATTTTACCGTTTAAGACGTAGAGTAATTCTAACACTATTTCGATGGTAACTTTGCTGCTGATGACAACGAAAAAAAAAAATAAAAGAAAATAAATAAACTCGTTCAGTTTCGTTCTTCGATTTGTTGCGAAATCGGGAGGAGCAAGATCGGGGACAAAAAATTTATTATAAAATTAATAAAAAAAATTGAAATTGAGAAACTATTAGATAGATTTTGTAAATTTGTTTGATATGTAATACAATATTATTTATTGCTCATCCGATATATGGCGCAATATATTTTACAATATTTTTTTTACCAAAGATGGTCACTATTGTATATATATACTATATATCAATTGCTGAAAGTATTGTTAGATAATTGCAAAGTGTAACGGGCCTATCGATTTTATTATGTCTTTTTGTTGAGCACATACATTTTTTTGTAAATTTTTCTTATAAACTTTTTCTCTTTATTATTTTTTTTTTATTACTAAACGTTTAGAAGCCGATTTCGTTCGATTTTGATGTTAACCCTTTGAAGCAGGAGGGGTAAAGGTGTAAAAAATTTTAAAGGAATACCGATTTTAAGCGATCCTTAACGAAAAACCCTTGTTCTACTAGTTCGCATGAGTGTACATTATTTTTCATTTTAATTTTTAAATTCGACGATTTGTATTTATTTGAAAAATTTTATTATTATTGTACAAAACATTGCCATAAGCTCTCTGTTGTAAAAGAATGTGTGCCAATAATTATTACAAATAAATTATAAAGAACAAATCTTTTTATTCCTTCACGTCCCGTCAAAAAACCTATTCTTACAATGTTAAAAATCTCGGTTATAACGAGGATCGAAAGAATCATAACAAAAAAAGAATTTTTGGACGCTTTCTTTACAATATCACGTTACATTGAAGCCAAGCGGAAGTGAATAAAATAACTGATGATTTTAATTTTTTTAAAAATAGATAGAGAATTGAAAATCCTTTAAAATGAGTCCAAACACGATGGGATTATCTTAAAAAATAACGGAGATATTACAAAAAGTTTAAATAAAAACAATCGACGATCGGTATTATAAAAACAATCGTATCTTCGCTATTTTTAGAGACAACCTAGTCGTGTTTGGACTCATTTTAAAGGATTTTTAACGAGAATTGCGAATTTTTAATAAATTAAACCAAAAGCGATCGTCATACTAAAATGTCTGTATCCTGCTTATTTTTAAAAGTAAATATAAATGATATACAGGGTGCGTCAAATGTCTGGAATATAGCCAATAACTTCGCCATTTGTGGTTTTAAAGAAAAATGTTTCAAATAAAAAATTCTTTATTAATTGTGGCACATTTTTTGACGATAATTGCTTGTTTACGTTGTTCTTTGTTTCGTTGCTATGGCAACCAACATTCTTATTTTAAGTGGGAAGCATATGTTTTTTTTGCACATTTTAATAGAGGATAAATCTCTCTAAGCGATGAACATATCAAATCATATGGTAGTATAAGAAAAAATGCGTTCTCTGAAAATATTAAATCAGCAAATTACAATCAAAGTAGGTGTCGAAATAACGCCGTTGGCAGCACCATATGATTGATATGTTCATCGCATAGAGGTCAATCAAAGGCTTTCTCAAAGTATGCAAAAAAAAATATATGCACCACATTTAAAATAACAATGTTGGTTGCCATAGCAACGAAACAAAAAACAAAGCAAACAAGCAAAAATCGCCAAAAAATGCGCCATGATTAATAAAGAAACTTGTATTTGAAACATTTTTCTCTAAAACCACAAATGGCGAAGTTATTGGCTATATTCCAGACATTTGACACACCCTGTATATTATTATACAGGTGGTTGGGCCAAAAATTTACATTTTAATACCTTATTTTCAACCATACCTTAAACTTCCCTAGCGCCCTCTAAAGGTATGAAATTCACAACCCCTTTGATTTTATTATAATAACTTTTGAACGCCATGGATTATTAACATAAAAAAATATGGGTTGTAAAGCTTATTCATTATTAGTACATCTTTATGTCTCTTAAACATTGTGTAACATTGTGTAATTATCGTAACCCACGTGATCTGTGTAATATTGGCTGCATATCTCAATATGTAGTGAGAGTGTAGTGTATGTAACTAGTAGATTCTCGTTCTAGGTCATGACATATTTGTAATCTTCATTAAAAATCCTTTAAAATGAGTACAAACACGACATATTTATCTTCAATATTAATGAAGTTATTATCAACTTCCGGTTAGAAATGCCAACGTCAATTTTGACATATTTGTAATCGTCATGAAAAATCCTTTAAAATGAGCCCAAACATGATACGTTTCATTCCAATATTACTCGAGATATAAGCAACTTCCGGTTTGAAATGTCAATGTCATTTTGACAAATTTTTAATTTTTATAAAATGTCTTAAAATTTATCACAAAAACGAAAATACAATAAAAAAAGTTAAAAATTAAGGTTGGTATTAATATTTAATAATTAAATTGCTCTCTTCATTGTTGCTAACTTCGGGTTTAAGGTTTTTTATTCAAACTTTTTTGTTTTTTGAGATAAGTGCGTCTTGTTTGGACTCATTTTAAAGATTTTTTTTAATAAAGAATACATCATGAAAGAACGCCATGAAGTTGTCCATTTGTCTATTATATGATAACTAACTTCAGGTTTAAAATGTCAACCTCAATTTTGACATATTTGTAATCTTCATTAAAAATCCTTTAAAATGAGTACAAACACGACATATTTATCTTCAATATTAATGAAGTTATGGTCAACTTCCGGTTAAGAATGTCAACGTCAATTTTGACATATTTGTAATCGTCGTGAAAAATCCTTTAAAATGAGTCCAAACATGATACGTTTAATTCCAATATTACTCGAGATATAAGCAACTTCCGGTTTGAAATGTCAATGTCATTTTGACAAATTTTTAATTTTTATAAAATGTCTTAAAATTTATCACAAAAACGAAAATACAATAAAAAAAAGTTAAAAATTAAGGTTGGTATTAATATTTAATAATTAAATTGCTATCTTCATTGTTGCTAACTTCGGGTTTAACGTTTTTTTATTCAAACTTTTTTGTTTTTCGAGATAAGTGCGTCATGTTTGGACTCATTTTAAAGGTTTTTTTAATAAAGAACACATCATTAAAGAACGCCATGAAGTTGTCCATTTGTCTATTATATGATAACTAACTTCAGATTTAAAATGTCAACCTCAATTTTGAGATATTTACAATCTTCATTAAAAATCCTTTAAAATGAGTATAAACATGACATATTTATCTTCAATATTAATGAAGTTATGGTCAACTTCTGGTAAGAAATGTCAATGTCATTTTGACAAATTTTTAATTTTTATAAAATGTCTTAAAATTTATCACAAAAACGAAAATACAATAAAAAAAATTAAAAATTAAGGTTGGTATTAATATTTAATAATTAAATTGCTCTCTTCATTGTAGCTAACTTCGGATTTAACGTTTTTTTATTCTACCTTTTTGGTTTTTTGAGATAAGTGCGTCTGTTTGGACTCATTTTAAAGGTTTTTTTTAATAAAGAATACATCATGAAAGAACGCCATGAAGTTGTCCATTTGTCTATTTTATAACTAACTTCAGATTTAAAATGTCAACGTCAATTTTGACATATTTGTAATCGTCGTGAAAAATCCTTTAAAATGAGCCCAAACATGATACGTTTCATTCCAGTATTATTCGAGATATAAGCAACTTCCGGTTTGAAATGTCAATGTCATTTGGACAAATTTTTAATTTTTATAAAATGATTTAAAATTTATCACAAAAACAAAAATACAATAAAAAAAATTAAAAATTAAGGTTGGTATTAATATTTAATTATTAAATTGCTATCTTCATTGTAGCTAACTTCGGGGTTAACGTTTTTTATTGTAACTTTTTGGTTTTTTGAGATAAATGCGTCAAGTTTGGACTCACTTAAAAGGTTATTTTATGAAGATTACGAATATAATAATAAAATTAAAGTTTCTAGTTCTAGGTCTTGTGTTAGTTCTAATGATAATGCTAGTGTAAAACTAAAACTAACACGAGACCTAGAACTAGAAATATTCGCGTTTAGCCGTGCGTCTTCAGACTTTTCTAAGTTCTTGTCTAAAACGCCCAGCTAAACCTAAAACTTTCTAGTTCTAGGTATAGTTTTAATTGTTACTTAACCCTAAATTCTTGTACATTTTAATTGATCCAAAAAAATTTTTTTTTGATTTAATCCACTTACCTTGCTTATAATTTCATCCATTTACCCATTTTGAATTAAATACAACCATTAAATCCAATTAATTATGTTTTTCATTAAAAAAAACTTAAATTAAACGTCAATTTTGACAAGCACTGCAATATTTGGAACTTAATCACCATGGCAACCGAGTCAAGTTGGATAACCTTAAAATAATAAAATTTTATTCCAATTTTTTTTATCAATTCTAACTTAATTTTTATTAATATTAAAACAATTCGAATTCTTTACGATTATCTCGCATTCATAACAAATTCGTTAATTGTACTTAATTTAAATCGATTCTAATTAAGAGAAATAAATTAAAAATATTTTTTTTGATTTAATCCACTTACCTTGTTTATAATTCCCTAGATAAACCAATTTTGAGTTAAATACAGCCTTTTAAACCAATTAAATAAGACTTTTTCCTTAAAAAAACTTAAATTCAATTTCAATTTTGACAAGCACCTGCAATATTTGGATCTTAATCACCATGGTAACCGAGTCAAGTTGGATAACCTAAAAATAATAAAATTTTATTCCGATTTTTTTATCAATTCTAACCTAATTTTTATTAATTTTAAAACAATTCGAATTCTTTACGATTATCTCGCATTCATAACAAATTCGTTAATTGTAGTTAATTTAAATCGATTCTAATTAAGAGAAATAAATTAAAAATATCTTTTTTTGATTTAATCCACTTACCTTGTTTATAATACCCTAGATAAACCAATTTTGAGTTAAATACAGCCTTTTAAACCAATTAAATAAGACTTTTTCCTTAAAAAAACTTAAATTCAATTTCAATTTTGACAAGCACCTGCCATATTTGGATCTTAATCACCATGGTAACCGAGTCAAGTTGGATAACCTAACAATAATAAAATTATAATTAATTGTTAATATTTCGCTTTGTTTTATTATTTTTTTAATTTGAAACAATATGAGGAATATAATGACTTTATTAGAGGATGCTAAGGACGATGTCGGGCGAATAATTCAAGATATAAACGATGATTGTGTCGTTTTAATATTTTTGAGATTATATTAATAATTATTTATTATATTAAAAAATGTTTCCAATAATAATAATAGCTTTAAATTATAGTAGTAACAACTTTTCTTAGTAACTTTTTTTAATATCTCTACCATGAAGAGCTATATTATTATAAAATGATATACAGGGTGATTTATGATCATATAAATATTTATGTAATTTTCTATTTGCGTAGAAAAATGTTTCGAATAATAATTATTTAGAATTCGATTCTCTAGAAGTCTTTTTTCAACATTTTAGTTTTAATTTTAATCTTATTATTATATTTATTGAATAAACAAACTTATTCAACTAGGATTTATTAATAGGAATAAAGATGGATTATTTTTTATTTTAGAGTAGAGATAAAAAATTTATTAATTAGTAAAATAATAAATAAATATTTATTTAAAGAAATCCTCCACTTCAGCTAATTCCCTTTCTCGAGCTTGTTCATGAGCCCATCGATCTTCAGCTAATCGATCAGATAACTTCCACTTGTGATGTGAAATCCTCGTTCCACAAAAATGACACGTTTTATTACCAAATGGAGGTGCTTTCATGTAATTAAATAAACACTGCTGATGATATAGATGACCACAATAAACCCTTTCAATATGTCGTGGTGAATTTTCATCAATAATTACCAACTAAAAATAAATTTATTAATAAAACAAAAAACAATTTAATTTAAACACACATTTGGATTTTTGGGGAAACATAATTCTTTACAATATTGGCATTTTTCGTTGGGTAATCGTTTAATACAGTCAATTAAAAATGAACAGGATTTTCCTAAAGATGGCACAGGTTTAAATTCTGGTTCTCGAGGGTTTTTTATTCTAGGTGGTTCAACACATTGTCTTGCAATTTCCTTTGCTTGTAAAATCATGTGTCTATTAAAAGATGGTGGAAAATTTGTGTCAGTTTCGTGAATACTAAAACAAAAATAAATAAGATTTAAAAATACATAATTAAAAAACTTACTCAATAGCTTGTAATGGATAATGATCGGGAACGATAATCTTAACATTTAAAAAATATCCCCCATTAATAACTTTTAAAACTAAACTAGAAGATTTTTGTTTCAATCGAATCTCGTCAATTTCAGCATTTAAAGATTTTCTCAATTCATTTATTTCATCGTAACAACACGAAAGTGGATTTTCATCGATAAATTTCCTTAAAAATTGAAGAACTTTAATCACCTGGGCTTTTCCCAAATATTTTTTCGCCTCCTCCTCACACACTGACATCAATTTTTGGAGTAATTTATCCGACAAAAATTTACTTTTTAATTCAAGTAAAACGGGCGATTTTGGATAGGCAACAGGAAATTGCATACAAGCCACCAATGATTTGTGTTCGGTTCTTTTTATTTCCGTTCTGACCATCGTCGGCACGCACGACACCAATCTACTACCTTCCACGACTCTTTCGCATAAAGTTTTAACCTCTTTGAGCTCATCTTCTATAAATCCCATGTGGTTATTACATGAAAATCATTTAAGTTTAATAACAACTTAGAAAACCATTTGACAGTTTTTTAAAAATTAGGTTATGTTGTAAATGTCATATTGTTTGCTGTTATTGGTGAATAAGCGGGTCATCAAAAGATAAAATAAATTGAAAATTACTCAAGAATTATAAATTAATATTAACATTATTTTCATTTTGATGTGTTTAGTTTTTGATGACGATTTATATTAGGCGTAGTTTTTATTTTAAATGTTTTTATTAACATATTAATTTAAAACTTATGATTGGGTTGTATATATATTTTAACATTCAGACTTCAGATGAGTATAAGCGGGTGATCAAAAGATAAATTAAATTGAAAATTACTCAAGAATTATAAATTAATATTATCATTGTTTTCATTTTGGTGTGTTTAGTTTTTGATAACGATTTATATTAGGCGTAGTTTTTATTTTAACTATTTTTATTAACATATTGATTTAAAACTTATGATTGGGTTGTATATATATTTTGACGTGATTTTGACGTGCAGACTTCAGATGATAAAATTGAGTAAATAACCTAATTTTTTAGGATTATTTTGGATAATTCTAACTTATTTAATAATTTTAGAATATGGAGAAGCATCCCGTCTCTTATTTACAAGAGGCGATGGCAAGACAAGGAAAGACTGCCCCTCTTTATGATATAAAACCCTGCCCAGGTGGTTTTGTCTGTGATGTAGTTGTTGAAGATATCACAGCATCGGCAGTTTGTGCATCAAAATCAGCAGCTAAGTATGAAGCAGCTTATAAAGCGGCTATTATTTATCAAGAAAAATATGATATACAGCAGATTAAAATGACCACACCTCCAACTATAGCAAATAATTCATTAAATGATTCAATTAATACATATCAAAATTCATCATTAAATTCTTCTCAAACCTATTTAGCAAAACATCCAGTCTCAGAGCTACAAGAACTAATGGCTGCGAAACAAAAGCCCTTACCACATTATTTAGTTATGGATCGATCGAAACCCAGTAATCCTTACTTCCATTGTACTCTAACAGTAGAGGATAGAACTTACGAATCTGAAGGCTCTAATAAGCAAATTACAAGAACACAATGTGCTAAATTAGCTTTAAATGATTTAAAAACAAACATACCCCAAAGCAGTATAAGCATCATGAATACTTTAAATGAAAATGTTGATATTTCAAGTAATGTTGGATACAATGCTATAGGTGCATTAAATGAGTATTTACAAAAAAGCAATTTTCGTTGCGCCTCCTTCCAAGAAATGGGGTCTAATAATACAGGGCAATTTGTTATAGTTTGTGAAGCTTTAGGGAAACGTTGTGAAGGATATGGTATCACTAAAAAGCAAGCCAAGCAAAATTCAGCACATGCTATGAATGAAATGTAAGTAATTTAATTACTTAATTTAATTCAATTTAATGAATAATCTGGTTAAATTCAAATAGATTGAAAATTCATAAAGAATCAAAAGGAATGACAAAAAAAGCTGTTATTGATGGTGAACCTACAATTATTAATGATGATAACATCATAAAGAAATTTACCGAATTGAGTATTCAACCTCAGCAACTTTTGGAATCTGTGATGTCAACCAAACAATTTGTTACCACTTCTCCATCCGAAGAAGATGATAATATAAAAGTGAATTTTATAATTTATTAATACATTAACTATTTATTATTGTTTTAGGATACAGCCACAGAGGATGATTTGATAACATTATTAAATGAATCCGGTTTACGGTTCTCTATTACAGCTTTACCTGCTGCAGATGATGTTGTAATACTTGCTTTAGTTTTTAATGATAAACTATCAACTACCATTCTTTCTTCTGGCACTGTTTATGAAGAAACTAAAATACAATTATTAAAAAAAGCAGTTAAAATAATGTCATTAACTAAGTAATATGTAATTAAGAACTAAAAAGAATTAAGATTAAGTTTGTATTATGAATATGTATTATCAAAAAATTGCTACTAAATACACCTTTGAGTTTTCAAAAAACTTAGAGGAGTGTCAAAAATGTTTAAATAGTCCTCCCAAAAACAATCCTTCAGAACAGTTCCTTTAAGCCACATCATAAGTGGTGAATCACTACCAAAGATGGAGAATTTCTAAAGGCTGTTCAAACACAACTATGTGAAGCAATCTCGCCAGGCAAAAATATTGGCCAATAGATCCAGATAGGATCCAGACCTGATACATTTCTACATAATCAAAAAGCTAAGCTAGCTTTGAGCTAAACTTAAATCACTCATTGTATTAACTTGAAGTGAACACATTATATCAAAACTGATTGGAGAAGGTTCAAAATAACGTTAAAGATGATTTTGAGGTGGAGAAGCTGATCAAAGATATCCAATACCTACTCAGTATGGAAAAACACCCCAGAAATGATATATCAGAAAAAATAAGGGTGATGAAGAAATGGCAAAAGAACCGTCCATGAATCCAAAATCATATAAACTTCATTAATATGTGTGTGAATCAATCTACACTACACAAAACTCGCCTATTTATACAGACAACATTAAAATACCACTACATAGAAATAAATGCAACAATAACAGAAGCTCAATGTGAGTCCAAACAAGATCAATCAAGAAACTAACAAGAATACAACATAAACTAAATACACGTGAGAAAAACACAACAATAACAATAATAATAAAACCAAAAACCCCAATAATTCATCTTATAATAATCATTCCACACATTGTAATAACATCATAAATGATAACTCTAACAATGATTTGCTACTATATACACATACCTTAACTAATTTAAAATTCTCCAACCTAGAAATTGCTCTACTTAATGAAGGTCATAAATTTGACATAGAAAAACCAATTAATATGGAACTAAATGCAATAAAAATTGAATATGCTATACACAAGCACCTAATAACAATGCCCTATTTGTTAAAGCAGATAAAAATGCAACAACTATAATTATAGATAAAAAGCTTTACATTGAAAAGACCATGAACTTCAACAATATCAACTACAACTAAAACTCACTCAGTGACATGATTACCAAAACATGTGTGTTTATGAGATGGATAGTTTTTATTTTCGGCTCTACCGGTTTCGATTAATATTTTTAATCATCTTCAGGAGCATGCCACGTCATGTTATATATTTCGAAAATCATACTTTTTAAAAAACAAATTATTCGTTTCTCAAGTTTATTTTTCTTTTTAAAAAAACTTTTTACTTTTTTAAAACGAAATATAATAACGTTTTAAAAAATATACAGGGTGTGTCAAATGTCTGGAATATAGCCAACAACTTCGCCATTTGTGGTTTTAAAGAAAAATGTTTAAAATACAAGTTTCTTTATTAATTATGGCGCATTTTTTTGCGATATTTGCTTGTTTGTATTGTTTTTTGTTTCGTTACTATGGCAACCAACATTCTTATTTTAAATGGGATGCATATGTTTTTTTCGCATACTTTGATAGAAGATAAATCCCTCTATGCGATGCAGATATCAAATCATATGGTTTTATAAGAAAAAAAACCGAGAAAAAATGCAAATTATAATCAAAGTAGGCGCCGAAATAACGCCGTTGACAGCTTTAAATGTCAAAAAAATGACAGTTTCAACAATTATGAATAATAAATAATGTATGGGTACACATATTTAATGCAGTTTCATCATTGGTAGCTGTCTTCGGCCGTTCACTTTTGGAAGATCGTTAACACTTCCGGTATTAAAATTTTTTTTTAATATTTTAGATACTGTGGATTGTGTATCCGGGTAAATATTATTGAACAGTGTACAAACCTCACTTTGAGTGCGTTTTCTATCACCGTACCCATACATTATTAATATTTGGATTCTTTGTTCGTTTAATTGCACCATATTTGTGTAAACTGTCATATTTTTGACATTTAAAGCTGTCAACGGGGTTCTTTCGGCGCCTGCTTCGATTGTAATATGCTATTTAATAATTTTAGAGAACACGTTTTTTCTCGATTTTTTTCTTATACAACCATATGATTTGATAAGTTTGATAGAAACATATGCATTTCATTTAAAATAACAATGTTGGTTGCCATAGCAACGAAACAAAAATAATGTAAACAAGCAAATAACGCCGTAAAATGCGCCACAATTAATAAAAAAAATTTTATTTCAAATATTTTTCTTTAAAACCACAAATGGCGAAGTTATTGGCTATATTCCAGACATTTGACACACCCTGTATATATATTATTTTATACCAGAAATCTTCTTTTGGTGATCCTTATGCCTGATGGCGTCGGATAAATCTTTTCCTATTCCTCCATCCACTTCTTCCACCCCCTCCAGTTCCTGGCTAATTCCTTTATATCTGCTAGATGCTAGAGTCTTCCCACTCTTCTTCCCAACTTCTACTATGTCCTTATTCTTAGCTTCAAATACCTTTTTTACTATTGTGTTATGTTCCATAATTATGTAGGCGTACCACTTTTGTTGCTTTCTCTTTATTTTGGTAATTATCTCGGAAGTAAAGATTTTTTCTTTGATTATTACTTTATTATTTGTTTATAAAAGAATCGAAGACAATTCCTATGCCGATGGATCTTTATGGTCTCTCTTGTAATCCTTTGGTAGTAATTACCAGCTCAGCTTATCATCTTGGTCCTACCGAATTCCAGCGTGCTTTGCGATTGACAACTGCTGGATCAAACCATTTTCAATTTAAAGCTTCAAGTTCTAGATCTAGTTTTAGTTGAAGAGAATATTTATGTATTTAGAACAAAGCTATATTCTCAATTTCCTATAACGAAAGTGAAAAATTATTACCAGAAATATCTTCACTTGAAAATAGACTTTTTAGGTGTGCTGTTTTCCAATGCTTGTATTGTTTTATCAATTCTTTTTTTGGTAAATTAAAACGTCAATAATTTGATTCGAATTTTAAACACAAATGTTAAAACACTATTTGTCACATGACTTTCCTGTCATATGTTCTATCCTTATAATGTAACCATCTCAAACAACAAATATAGGATAGAGCAATTTCGCCAGGATGTTGTATTGTTGTTCGAAATTTAAGTCATGTCGATTAATAGGATTCAAAAGCTGTTGTTCTCCGAGTACTGCGACTTCGAGGACATGGTTTTAGTGGAGAGCCCTTTCGCGCAAACGACAAGGGAAGGAAAAGGTTTAAGGCAAGTCCAATTGGGTGAGTGATTTCAACTTAATTCTAATTTAGCCATCATTTTGACGCACTGAATAAGTTTTGACACACGTCGTCGACAAAAGTTTTTTTTCGCGAATTTGTCAAATGGGTTTTTCGATATTGATGACCGTCATTTTTGTTTCCAATCAGGCTTAACCCCGTCAAAATTGGTCTTAGCCACGGATATTTTGCAAACTGCAGAGTTATCGCCAGTTACTTACATCCCCGGTTTAGATCCGGAGATAGAAACGTTCGAATTGGTCGCTGTGTATCCGTTGGAATGCGTTAATATAAGCGTTTTCCATAGGAGAAGCAGGCAATCATTAAAGGCGCACTTTTGTAATAATAGAATTTATTATTTTGAACTGGGAGGATTTGAAAAAAGACATGTAAGTAAATTTTGATGATTAATTTGGAATTCTATGATTTCTTTTTTTTTTTTTTTTTGTAAATAGATGTTTTGGAATTTATGGTGTGAGAAAGTAAGGTTTTTAAATCCAGAAGAACCGGGTTCGTCAAATTCGGAATCTTCGGCGGCTACTTCTAACACGAATAGTACACTTTATTTGGTGTCTAGTAGGCAGATTATCAACGAAACTGGTACGACGCAGTTATGGTGGAAATTTGGAGCTGGCGATTACACCGCGGTAATTTTTTATTTTTATTTAATTAATTAATTATTACAAATTTGATTTTTAGACGAATAGTTTTCGTTGGACTGATAGGTATTTATTTTTGGGGTCAAGAGACGAAAATCCTTTACAATATAACCCGCTTACAAGATCGCCTACTTTGGCTGAATTTTTACACAAAGACGTCGATCGGTATCTTTATTTTGAAATGATAAATCTAAATTTAATTTAGTTTTTTTTTTTAGGATTGATATAGCTTCAAAACAATCACCTGAAACTCCCACAAAAACTTCAAGCCAAGTGAATCGATTTGGATTAGGAGTCATGGAGAATTGTAGATCGTGTCTTTTCCTTCCAGCGGAAAATTACATCGTAACGAACAAATTTAGCAACCACACCACCCAAGTATTTTACCCCATCTCATTAAATAACATTAATTAATAACATAATTCATCAATTAATTTTTAGTCAACGGATGTTTTTACAATGTATAAAAGCTTGAGAGAACAAACTCAAGCCAACATGCTTAAATTAGCTGAAAATAGTGTTAAACAGTGGGAATTTTGTAACTGTAACGACCCCATTTCTGAAACTAAAATTAAAGGACGTCATCGACGTAGATACGGGTTTTCACCCCAACCATATTTCTTACACGGCTTAGGCCCATGGAACGTCTCACCAGGAGCTCGATATTCCGTTCAAGTACAACCAAATTCCTCAAACCAAATTCAAATTAACCATCAATTTTCCAGACTAAAAGAGCAGTATCTTTGGTAAACATCCGAAGGCAACCACTTGAACCAGAATTAAGACTTCCAGTTTCTAAACGTCAATTAGTTGCTTCAATTTCACACGAAGACGTTCGATTAGACGATAAATTATTTCCTAATAATAATATTTTAAAGTATTACTTAATTTTTTTTTAATTGATTAATTAAATTTTATTTTTTAGGAGTTCAAATAAATCCCCAGTTATATTTTTTTGGACCCCAGAATATTGGTACAGACCTAGATCTGCAAGAGATGCCTATTTAGAACTTCAAACCCACCTATCAAAAATACGAGAGTTTCGAAAACTTAATATTAAAAAATCGCCAAAATCGGCGAGAAAAAAATTCCTAAGAAAAAAGAAACGCCAAGAACGTGAAATTCTTCGATCGGATTCCGAGGATAGCTTTGAAAGAATCATGCACACCCCAACGAAAAGAAAACGGCAATCAAAAGTTTCCGCTTTCACAAAAACCCACGAATTACTAAAAGGTAACTTTAAAGTGATTTGGTTTTTAATTCCTAATAGTGCTCCCGTTTCTGTGTTTATTTTCTTGCATAGACGAAGATAAACCACCGGAAGAAACGTCGTTGCAATTTTTAAAACGCGTTCTTCGTCTTGAAGTTTCTTTAACAGCTTGGGATTTCGATTCGAGTACTTTGGCTTATCAATTAACTTTGATCGATCGAGATCTTTTTTTAAAAATACCTCCCACGGAATTAGGAGTGTTAATTTGGCAACAATCCTCGAAAAACGCGCCGAATGTCGGCGCTTTAATCGCGTTTTCTCATCGAATAAGTTGTTTGGTTGCCACTGAAGTGTTAAGAGATGACTCGGAGAAAATTCGCGCACGTTTAGTGTCAAGATTTATTAATACAGCTGAGAAATGTAATAAAATTGCGAATTTTCAATCGTGTAGAAGCGTTCTTTGCGGTCTTCAAAGCCCGCCGATTTATCGACTTTACTCTACGTGGACTTATGTAAGAAAAAAACACGCTACAAAGTATCAGTAAGAATCAACTTTATTAATTAAGATTTAGATTTTTTTAAATATAATTTATTTAGGGTGTTTGAAAAGTTATGTAGATTATATAGAGATCCAAGGTTACCTGCTTATCAAAAATCTTTTCATCGCGCAACTCAAAATCATCAATATTTACCGTACATCGGTGATATAATCACGAAATTATTAGATAGAATCCCCGAATACAACGATAATTTAATAAGTTGTTGTAAAGTGCCCCCACAACCTTGCATACAAACCAAAGTTGGCGACGCTGAAATTTCTTCAAATTTATTCAGGAAGATTTTGACGAGTTTTAGTCGATGGTCGACTGAGGATAAAAGTAATAAAGAGCGACATAATAATACATCGACCGTTTTAACGAAAGAAACTCCCAAAAGAACCGCGAAAGGTTTAACGGATTATTACAAACCGTTAAATTGTTACGAAGATAATCGATATACGAGATTACGAGAAGCCGTCGAACTTTTAACCAAGTATCAACGAGCTGCCGCGAATTTCATGTTTTCTAGGAACGAGTTAGCCACGGAGTATTTATTAAAAGCTCGGTATCGAGAAGATAGGGAGAATTTCTTTAATTCGTTTAATGTAGAACCACCTATTACGTAATGAAAATGTATTTATTAAAATAATTTAAATATAAATAAATGAAGTGTACAACAAAATTAATTCTATTAGTGAATTTCACTTAAGATGCAATATAGAAAAATATATTTCCATAAAAATCAGGGCGTACCTATTTACTTTGTCCCACGTAACATGCAATATGTTAATATAATTTGATGTTACAGCAAAACCTTGATATAACAGATCAATACGGAGAACACAGTATTTGTTATAGATCAATAAAAATATACAATAATTTTTTGAACATCACCTTTTGTTCATAAATTTATGTAATATGTAATTTTTGTACTTTCACGAATATGTATACTGATTTTTGTGAACAATAAACTTGTTTATTATTATTATTATATGTGAGGTAGAGCTAACTTGACACCAGATCTATGACTTAAAATGGAGATATAACAACAAACAACTAATAAGATAAAATGTTATTTTATTAAAAGTAAAATAGACACGGTCAAGTTGTTTATTGCACAATATATACAGGCTGACCAAAAATATAAAATATGAAACAGATGCATAAAAAGATTGAACCTAATTATTACCATTTTTTATTTATAAGCTCTAAATCGATTAAACATCAAAATTGTTGATTTTCGAAAATTAACTCAATTATAACTCAAAAACTAAAATCGATGGAGAAATATTTTTTATACATAAAACCTTAGTAATGGACCATAAAGGCTAGATCCATAAAAAAATTGAACGCAATTATTGTCATTTTTTATATATAAGCTCTAAATCGATTAAGCATCAAAATTGTTGATTTTCGAAAATTAACTCAATTATAACTCAAAAACTAAAAGCGATGGAGAAATACTTTTTATACATAAAACCTTAGTAATGGGCCATAAAGACTAGATCCATAACAAGATTGAACCCAATTATTACCATTTTTTATTTATAAGCTCTAAATCGATTAAAGATCAAAATTGTTGATTTTCGGAAATTAACTCAATTATAACTCAAAAACTAAAAGCGATGGGGAAATACTTTTTATACATAAAACCTTAGTAATGGACCATAAAGACTAAATCCGTAACAAGATTGAACCCAATTATTACCATTTTTTATTTATAAGCTCTAAATCGATTAAAGATCAAAATTGTTACTTTGGATAACTTTTTTTTGGTTTCAAAAGAAACTGACCTGACCTAACATTCTTTCACGGCTTGATTGATATTTCAAAAGAAAACTGACCAAACTTAACATTCTTTCACGGTTTAATTGACGCTTCAAAAAAAAACCGACATCGGTTAAACCCGAATTATAAAATTTTAAACAGAAATTATAATTTTCAAAAAAATCGGGTAATTTTAGCCTGATTTGATATACCACAACCGATATCCACGCTAAAATCCGTGTTTAAGTTAGTGTTTTGTTTTCAGCCATCTTGGATTTAATTAAAAATACAAAAATCGCAATAACTTTTTCATTGTAACACCAAATTATGTTAATTTTGGTTTTGTTATTAACCATTTTTGAATCCTCATCATTTTCTTTCATCGAAAATTTACTTTTTTGAAATTAATTTTTAATTGATACTTTATTGAAGGAGTAAAATTAAATAATGAAATTATAATTTTTAAAAAAATCGGGTCATTTTAGCCTGATTTGATATACCACAACCTATATCTACGCTAAAATACATGTTTAAGTTAGTGTTTTGTTTTCAGCCATCTTGGATTTGATTAAAAATACAAAAACCGCAATATTTTTTGAATTATAATCGCTAAGTATGTCGAGTTTGGTGTCGTTATAACGCATTTTTAATCCCCCATACATTTGGTTTATCAAAAAAACAAATTTTCTAGTATTTAATTAACGAAATTGATCTAATGAAAATAAGATTAAGTTATTAAGGATATTTATTAATGGACAAAAAGTAATTAAGTTTTTATTAATACATTTATTTAAAGAATGAGCTATTGTTTATTAAAAAAAATTAAATCACAATACATTATTATTTGTTTTTTAATTATAAATATTTAAAATATAAGCATATAAAGTTAAATACGAGTTTGATATGTACACATAACGTACGATTCAGTCAAGTTCTTGTTTTACGTGACATGTAATTGTTGTTCATTTATCACCGTTGGTCTGGAAATAAAAAATATCGTATTAGGAACAATTTATGATCAATAAATGAAGTGTTAATGAAATGAGAGGGAAAAGAAATGCATGCTTTATTAGTAATTAAAAGAAGAAGTTTTAAGATCCAGAAAATCCTGATTAATCTTACGTTGGCCCAAAAGTGATCGATTTTTGTTGAACTAACGATCGATGTTGTCCGTGTTTTAAAATACCATTTGGTGCATCATGTTTTTTGTCGGATGGAATACATAATATGGTCACTCTGTTCGAATAGGGTTTATTGTAAGTCTCGGAGTTACCCAAATTACTTAAATCATTCGTTGATTTCGCCAGCTGTTTACTTAACGGGCTGTTCACTGATATTCTAACGGAGCCGTTGGTTTCTGCTTTAATTTGTGGATGATTTAACAAATTCTCCTATAAGTTGAATAACGACAGATGGTACAAAATATAATATGAAATGATTCATCAAGTTGAAATGGAATCTCATTAACATTTTATCTCATTAGCGATAAGCGAAAAGATAAATTGTGTAAATATTTTCTGGGTTGTTCAAATAATTTCAAAAAATAACTTACCATAGATTCAGTTCTTTTTTTTAAATTCGATCTGTTCAAAGTTAGAGCCAACTCAGAAGCTAACTGGCTACTTATAGATTGACCGGAAGCCCTATCAATTGTATCACTTCCCGATCCATTCAAAAAATCCAACTTTTTAATTTGCTTTTTCGTCGTCCCGGACGAATAACCACCGATAGTCACATTAACCGGCTTTTTCGTTAAAGTTGAAGTCGCCGAACCATTCGAAAGTTGTCCACTGAGTCTCGTTTTATTAAAATACGTATTCGGTGGTTTTCGATTCGTCTCGTTATTACTTTCATGAAGCTTAAATGATTCCAACGATTCCATTTCGACGGCATCGTTAATTCCATTTTGGCAGAAATCTTTTTTTGGAAAATTTACTTTTCTTGGTAATGTCGAATTTAAACTTAAATTATCATAATCGGGTGTTGGACATGGTGGTGGTTGAGGTAATTGTGATGATGTTTTTTGCGGAACGGGTGGTGGTGGTGGTTTTGGTCGTTGTTTTGTTGGTTCGATTAATTTATCTGTTGATTCGTCATAAATTGGTAACTGAAAATTAAATATAATAAATTTAATACAAAAATTTATTATTTATAATCTTCATTCATTTTTATCTTATAATTATAAAATGTTATAAATTTATATATATATATATAATTTATATATATTTTGTGGATATATATATATAATTTATATATATTTTGTATACAGTGTGACCCATTTGAAAGCGGAGCACTCTCGTAATCAAATAAATTCATAAAAAATGATATTTTTCAATTATCTGCAACGGTTTTAATTTCTAACCATTTTTGATGAAACTTGGTATATGCCCATTTCAAAAGGCGCTTAATGCAGTGGTGTACTCAGATTTTTTCTAAAATATTTCCTAATATGATTTCTTCATTTTTAGCACCTAAAAAGTTAAATAGTAGGCCTTGGTTTTTCTGAGAAAAACATGACTCTTTGTCCGAAGGTACAGTTTTTTATCGTCTACAATTCAAAAAAAAAATTGTCGAAATCGGATAATAAATACAAATTTTACGAGGTTGCTCCGCTTTCAAATGGGTCACACTGTATATACAGGCTGTCCCGAAACTCAACGTCAAGCGGGCACCGGGTGAGAGGCCAACCCATACCTCGTCTGGCAAAAATAAGAAAAAAATTCTGTCTCTTAATAGACATATTTTTGAAAATGTTCAAAATCGTTCCCGTACATCATATCTTTAGGTACTACGGTCAGAAATGTTCGCAATTTAATAGTGATTTTTTTAATAATATATTCCTAATGAACCATGCTACTATAGTAGTCACAAATCGAACAACAAAAGTCATTAGTTTTGCAAAAAAAAGTATTAGTTTGATTGAGTTAAGGTTGAAAGAATTTATGTTTATTAAGTTTGACACACGATTTCTAAACAAAGGAGTAGTACAACACCCTTGCCAAATTATTTTAAAAGATGGCCTGTTTAGTCACGATTTCAAAATGGTATAACACTTGCCATTTTTCTGCAAAAAACAGGCAAAATGATTTAACAACTTTGTTAGAAGATGTGCCAGTCAATACCTACAGAGAAATGTGGTTTCAACAAAATGGTTGCCCAGCTCATTATGCTTGTCCTGTATGGGATTGCATACAGAATACCCAGAAAGATGGATTGGGCGTCGTGGTTCGATTACGTGGCCCCCTCATTCCCTGGGTCTAAATCCCTTTGATTTTCTTATTAGGATTGCATAAAAGAAAAAGTTTATTAAAAACCGATTGAAAATCTTGCCGAACTGAGCCACAATATTTATACAGCAGCAGAAGAAATAAATGCAAAAAGATTTGCACAACTAGTATAAAGATCTTTTCTGTGACGATGCAGAGCTTGTATTAGTGCCGACGGCAAATAATTTGAGCATTTGCCTTAGTTTTAAGAAAATAATGCTATAAAATTAATAATAAATGAATTTGTTTGTTTAATTTTGTTGTTTAACCATCTTGTTGAAACCACATTTTGTAGTTCGTAGATATTGACTGGCACATCTTCTAACAAAATTAAGAGGGAATAAAAAGTAAATACAAATAACATACAAAAGTATGAATTTTTTAAATGACGTGTTTTTTGCAGAAAAACAGGCAATATTTTTTATGACAAGAAAAATAGCAAGTGTTGTACCATTTTGGAAACTTGACTAAACAGGCCATCTTTTAAAATTACTTGCCAAGGGTGTTGTACTACTCATTTTTTTAGAAATCGTGTGTCAAACTTGATAGACATAAATTCTTTCAACCTTAACTCAATCAAATTAATATATTTTTTTGCAAAACTAACGACTTTTGTTGTTTGATTTGTGACTTCTACAGTAGCATGTTTCACAAGGAATAGATTATTAAAAAAATCACTAGTAAATTGCGAACATTTCTGACCGTAGTACCTAAAGATATGATGTACGGGACCGATTTTTAACATTTTCAAAAGTATGTCTATTACCACTTAACTAAGAGACATGGAATTTTTTTCTCATTTTTACCAGAACAGGTATGGGTTGGCCTCTCACCCGGTGCCCACTTGACGTTGAGTTTCGGGACACCCTGTATATATATATTTTGTGTATATATATATATATATAATTTATATATATTTTGTGTATATATATATATACAATTTATATATTTTTTGTATATATATATATATATATAATTTATATATATTTTGTATATATATATATATAATTTATATATATTTTGTATATATACAGGGTGTTCCGGTGACTCGAGGCATAAAATTAACCTCATATACTAGAGTAAAAAAGATAACGATTCGTGAAAAAAAATTATTATAAAAGTCTTCAAATGGCCAAGATATGGGCCATCAAAGTTCAGAAATTTTAACACATTTTTCTAAATATTTTCAATACCATTTATGATAGAGCGTTGAAATTTGGTACAGGGTAAACAAATATCAAGCAAAATCATTGAACCAATTTTAACTTTGATCGGGCGGCGGCAACCATGCTATANGATCAATAAAAATATACAATAATTTTTTGAACATCACCTTTTGTTCATAAATTTATGTAATATGTAATTTTTGTACTTTCACGAATATGTATACTGATTTTTGTGAACAATAAACTTGTTTATTATTATTATTATATGTGAGGTAAAGCTAACTGACACCCGATCTATGACTTAAAATGGAGATATAACAACAAATAACTAATAAGATAAAATGTTATTTTATTAAAAGTAAAATAGACACGGTCAAGTTTTTTATTGCACAATATATACAGGCTGACCAAAAATATGAAATATGAAACAGATCCATAAAAAAATTGAACGCAATTATTATCATTTTTTATATATAACCTCTAAATCGATTAAGCATCAAAACTGTTGGTTTTCGAAAATTAACTCAATTATAACTCAAAAACTAAAAGCGAAGGGGAAATATTTTTTATACATAAAACCTTAGTAATGGACCATAAAGACTAGATCTATAAAAAGATTGAGCTCAATTATAACCGTTCTTTATTTATAAGCTCTAACTCGATTAAACATCAAAATTGTTGATTTTCGGAAATTAACTCAATTATAACTTATAAACTAAAAGCGATGTGGAAATATTTTTTTAATATAAAACCTTAGTAATGGACCATAAAGACTGGATCCATAAAAAAATTGAACGCCATTATTACCATTTTTTATATATAAGCTCTAAATCGATTAAGCATCAAAATTGTTGATTTTCGAAAATTAACTCTATTATAACTCAACAACTAAAATCGATGGAGAAATATTTTTTATACATAAAACCTTAGTAATGGACCATAAAGGCTAGATCCATAAAGAAATTGAACGCAATTATTATCATTTTTTATATATAAGCTCTAAATCGATTAAACATCACAATTGTTCATTTTCGAAAATTAACTCAATTATAACTCAAAAACTAAAATCGATGGAGAAATATTTTTTGTACATAAAACCTTAGTAATGGACCATAAAGACTAAATCCATAACAAGGTTGAACCCAATTATTACCATTTTTTATTTATAACCTCTAAATCGATTAAACATCAAAATTGTTGATTTTCGAAAATTAACTCAATCATAACTCATAAAATAAAAGCGATGGGGAAATATTCTTTATACATAAAACCTTAGCAATGGACCATAAAGACTAGATCCATAAAAAGATTGAACCCAATTATTACCATGTTTTATTTATAAGCTCTAAATCGATTAAATATCAAAATTGTTGCTTTTCGAAAATTAACTCAATCATAACTCAAAAACTAAAAGCGATGGAGAAAAACTTTTTATACATAAAACCTTAGTAATGGGCAATAAAGACTAAATCCATAACAAGATTGAACCCAATTATTACTATTTTTTATTTATAAGCTCTAAATCGATTAAACATCAAAATTGTTGATTTTCGAAAATTAACTCAATCATAACTCAAAAACTAAAAGCGATGGGGAAATACTTTTTATACATAAAACCTTAGTAATGNTATATATATATATATATATATATATATATAATTTATATATATTTTGTGTATAATATATATATTAACTTACAGGAGGTGGTGGAGGTGCAAAATTTCCATTTGATGGTTTATCTAACGATGTCAACGACTTTTTTTGTACGGTTTCTGATTGATTTTGTATCGGAAGTTGTTCAGTAACACCATTACTATAATCTTTAACGTTACGGTTCTGTAAAGAAAATTCTCGGTTACGCACAAACGAAATTGTTATTTAATGTAGCGATTTTTTTTATTACATAATAAACAATTTTTAAATTTTCGGTTACTACCTGTAGAACGAAATCGTTTTGGCATTGAAACTTTATGATAAACAGGTTGAAAATAAACAAGTATTAGAGACTGTTTGTTTTCCTAATATGTATATAATCATAATTTTTACTTACTTCGTACGTTTGAATAGTCACTAAAGGTTTCGTACTTTTCTTTTGCATCGTCACTATTTATTTATTAAATTGATTTAGTGTGAATTAATGGCGAAATTGATTCAAAGAAAAAAACACGATACTAGGAATAAAAATTATTAAAGTGAACGCAGCAACCGTGCGTCTCGAAATAAATGAACAACCTGATAACAAGCGCCGACCGGTGGACGTGACGCGCTGCAATTGTTTCCCAACGCGAGAGAGAGACGTTTAATTAAATAGCTCCGGGACCCGGAGCCGTGCGATTCTCCAACGATTGTTTTATTTTTTTTTGTGTTTGCAATAGATTCGCTTTTCCTCGAAAACTCGTTTCGCAATTATCGGTCGTTCCCTTTGCTGCGCATCGTTAGCGTGATTTTCCGCACCTAAAACCGTACACGATTGCATTACGTATGCTTTCTCTAAGCCAATTAGAATAAGAAAATATCTTCAGCACGCCCATTATTCTTCGCGTAATCAAATTAGAACCAACCGTAATATGTTAAGTTTTAGCGGGAAATTTTTATAATTCAAATCTTATCTTAATTAATTGATGTAAGTCATTAATTTAGTCTCAATCACTCCAACTGATAAAATCTAAAATTTAGTTCGATTACATTTTTTACTTATTGTTAGATTACAACAATTTCCTGTTTATAGATGATTATATAAAAACTAGGAATGCAATAAAGTTAATTACTGTTATTATCATTAATGCCAAAACAATCTATCTCATAATATATCATTGTATGTGATTGTATTTTGGTTTTGCAAGAGATAGAAAGTGAGTAAAAACGTATTTGCGGAATAAAATAGGACCCATTATTTTTCGATTTATTGACGAATTAAGTGAAAGTTGTCTCAATTCTAATTTTCTACAATAAGCGTCAAACTTACCGTAATAGTTTCTTCATTAATATCTGGTTTCTCCTCGCAAATCGATTTGAACATCTTCTTATGAGCTTTCTTGAATTCGTCCATTAATTGAGAGTGTTGCTGTTGTTTGTCAGAGTTAACACCTTTAAGGATCTTTTTTATTTGCAGTTGGTCATCTATTGAAGGTTTCTCCGGGACTGGTTTTATTCTCTTAAAAAGAAATTGTTGTTTATTAATAATATTTATTGGAACTATATTAGGAAAAGCGACCTCAGCTTCAAAAAATTACAAATCCTCGGAATAACTCCGTTTTTGTATTTACAGGTGTCTCCGAAATGCGTGTACAACGGAACACCACAGATTCCTTGGCTCAAAATAGGTCAAGTTAAGTTAAGTTATCTATATCCAAAGTTGCTTCGTTTCGCTGCTAGAGGACTTCAAAGTAAGCAAAATAAATTCTTTTATTTTTTATAATTCGAAAACGCGTAAATCAATTTAAACCATTTTTCAGAAGTGAGTTCTTAGGTTCAATTAACATCTTTCTATGGTGTCCGATAGAATTTCAGAAACACAGAAATGTTAGAAAAGTCAGTGTTACAAATTATTACAATTTTTGAATAGCCCATACTTCTTGAAAGTACGCGTCCGCATAGTCGAAGTGAGGAAATATAAGTGAGTAGCAAAGATTACGACGGACCACCGGAGGAAGAGAGCAGCGAAGTCTTTTTAAAGAGTGGAAGCAAGCATAAACTTTTCTGCAAACATGTTGAATTTGCGGTTTCCAAGGCAGTGCAGAATCCAAAAGAACTCCAAGATTTTTAACTGTGTCAGAAAACCATATGACATATCCATCCAGCATCAGATCACTGCAGGTAGATGGATTAATCTTACCAAGTAATTGACGAGTTGCAAACACAATAGCTTGCGTTTTAACTGAGTTCAACTTAAGTCCGTATCTCCGAGATCAGTTCAAAACCTTAGATAGATCGTTATTAAGTCGCACAATAGCTTCCGGAAATTTAGTAACAGTTGTAGTAGTATATATCTGGAGGTCGTTAGCATACAAATTGGAAAATTGGAAGGCAGGTAGCTGACTATGTGTAAGTATGCCGTCTGGACAGGATGTAATAATAAGATGAAGAAGAGAATGTGAGGTAGGAAGATGATGATTAGGCAGAGAGGGTAAGATAGATAAGTTTAAGGAAGAAGTAACGAACTGAAGTTTCTCACCACGAGTATCATTTCTCAACAGACAAGTATTAAAATCCCCCATTAACAGGATAGTCCCATAGATAAGTGAATGCCTTTCCAAACTCTTCTCCAACTGATCAAAATACATAGTTTATAGAAGGAGGGCAGTAAAAAACACCGAGTAATAGTTTATTATAATCAGTTTTCAGCCGTACAAGCAAAAACTCCGCATTTGGCAACGTAACATGCAAAGTAATTTAAGTAAGATTTTAATTACGTAAGTGGATAAGCCAGAAAAACGGCATTTTTAAATATTTGCAAGCCTTGTTTACGTCATTGCAATACAAATCCTCATCGTAGTTGGCACTACGTTAAGAAGCAACTTTGGCCTATTTTGAGAAAAGGAATCTGTGGTACTCCATTGTACACACATTTTCGAGACACCCTGCGACCTCGGCTTATTTAGATAGGACATTCTTAATATCTGTTAAGTTTTTTGTGTCAATATAAGATCGATGTAGCACCTTAACCATAAGCAACCTCAGTTTAAATAAGCTATACAACCTCGGAAATACTCCGTTTTGGTATTTATACAGCAAAGAACCAGCGCCTCGGCCGCAAGCGACCTCGTCTTAAGTGAGTAAGAATCGTTCAAAACTTTAGGTTCTGCATAAATATAGTATTGATGTAACATCACAGCCATACGTGTCCTCAGCTAAAATAACCTACAACTCCTCGGAAACGTTTTGTTTTTGTATCCATACAGACTCGATGTAGCGCCTCGGCCGCAAGCGACCTCGGCTTAAGTAAGTAAAAATTTTTTAATAACTATTCCGTTTTTATGTCAATAGAATATCGATGTAGCACCATAGTGATAAGCAACCTCAGTTTAAATAAGCTATACAACCTCGGAAACACTCCGTTTTAGTGTCTATACAGCAAGAAAGTAGCGCCTCGGCCACAAACCACCTCGGCTTGAGGAAGTAGGAAATCTGTGAAACCTGTTTAGTTTTTGTGTCAATACAACATCGATGTAGCACCATAGTCATAAGCAACCTCAATTTAAATAAGCTACACAACCTCGGAAATACTCCGTTTTGGTATTTATACAGCAAAGAACCAGCGCCTCGGCCGCAAGCGACCTCGGCTTAAGTGAGTAAGAATCGTGCAAAACTTTAGTTTCTGCATAAATATAATATTGAAGTAACACCTCAGCTTAAATAATCTACAAATCCTCGGAAACGTTTTGTTTTTGTATCCATACAGACTCGATGTAGCGCCTCGGCCGCAAGCGACCTCGGCTTAAGTAAGTAAAAAATTTTTAATAACTATTCCGTTTTTATGTCAATAGAATATCGATGTAGCACCATAGTGATAAGCAACCTCAGTTTAAATAAGCTATACAACCTCGGAAACACTCCGTTTTAGTGTCCATACAGCAAGAAAGTAGCGCCTCGACCACAAACGACCTCGGCTTGAGGAAGTAAGAAATCTGTGAAACCTGTTTAGTTTTTGTGTCAATACAACATCGATGTAACGCCATAGTCATAAGCAACCTTAGTTTAAATAAGGTACAGAACCTCGGAAATACTCCGTTTTGGTATTTATACAGCAAAGAACCAGCGCCTCGGCCGCAAGCGACCTCGGCTTAAGTGAGACAGAATCGTTCAAAACTTTAGTTTCTGCATAAATATAGTATTGATGTAACACCTCGGCTTAAATAACCTACAAATCCTCGGAAACGCGTTGTTTTTGTATCCATACAGACTCGATGTAGCGCCTCGGCCGCAAGCGACCTCGGCTTAAGTAAGTAAAAAATTTTTAATAACTATTTCGTTTTTATGTCAATAGAATATTGATGTAGCACCATAATGATAAGCAACCTCAGTTTAAATAAGCTATACAACCTCGGAAATACTCCGTTTTAGTGTCTATACAGCAAGAATATCATCATAAGCAACCTCAGTACTGAGGTTGCCTTATGACTATGGTTAAACTTTAGTTGCTGCATAAATATAGTATTGATGTAACATCACAGCCATACGTGACCTCAGCTTAAATAACCTACAAATCATCGGAAACGCTTTGTTTTTGTATCCATACAGAGTCGAAGTAGCGCCTCGGCCGCAAGCGACCTCGGCTCAAGTAAGTAAAAAATCTTTAATAGTCATAAACGACTAAGCTTAAATAAGCTTACAACCTCGGAAATGCTCCGTTAGTGTTTATACAGCGAAGATCTCAGCTTAAATAAGCTACAAATCTTTGGAAACGCTTTGTTTTTGTATCCATACAGAATCAATGTAGCGACTCGGCCGCAAGCGACCTTGGCTTAAGTCTTTCATAGTTGTTTTTAAGAGAACACTCAAGAAATACAAAGGTTGCTTAATCAGAACTAATATTTGTAACCTGGAGTGGTCCAAAATTTCCTCCTTATATTATTTACTAAATAATCAAAGTTAAAAGCAAACTTCAGATGGAATGGTGAGACGAAAATGTGGAGAAAACTATCTAACTAATTAATAAATACTTACTCTAGCTCTTCTCTGAATTTCTTCGCAAATAGCACTTGATAAACTACTAGAAACATCACTACATTTACTAGCAACACTATTAAAGCTGCATATCGAGGGGCTTTTAACCAAAGGAATCTTTTCTTTCTCATCGCTTCTGTGAACTTCGACAACAACAGTTTTGAGTTCGTGTTGTCTCGACACCAAGCAAATATCAGCGATCTTGTTCCCACTGTTTCTTTTCAACGTGTTATCATGATCGTCTTCTTCTCCGTTATTCTTAATTGTTGTTCCATTATCTGTGAGGTTGATGATAGTCGGTTTGAAATTGTAATTTGAAATCGCGTTCTTTTCTTCTCTAATTTCATCGTCCCACTCGATCTTTTCCCATTTTTTATTGTTTTTGAACCTGTCGAGGCGCTCGTCTAAATTAATTTCTTCCTTTACAATCGAAAGTCTTTTCGATTCGGACCAAGATGGGCTTTGATCCCCCGTAACTGAACTCGCGGAACTATTATAACCGCTAGATTCGCCTGGGAATAGTTCAGATCCTGCTGATTTTCTTACTAAGAGGTCTAATTGTCGGGCATTTTTCATTATATTTACAGCCTAAAAAATAATGATAAATAATTAATTATATTTTTATGTGTTAAAATTTAAAAGCTTACTTCATTAAAGGAGATATCGGTGAAATCGACGTTATTGCAATAAAGGATTTGATCCCCAGGTCTTAATCCGGCCTCTCTAGCAATCCCGGCTTCTTTTGTGAATTGAATAAAAATTCCTGGTTTCCATTCGGGGCCTTTACAAATTCTAAAATTTTTTTTTGGGGTTAAAATGATTTAAATTAATTAATTAAAGATTTTACCCGCATCCTAATTTTGTTCTGGGCGCAACCATGATGTTAATTCTTACGTCGTGTATTTTTTCGGTTAATTGAGGTGAAGATCTGGTTGATGAGTTATTATCGGAAATAATTTGCCAACTTAAAGGGTCGGTTTTTTTGCTATAAATTAATAAAATCATTATTTTTTTGATGGATTATGTATTTATAAGCTTACTCTTTAATGGGGAGCATTCCAACGGCTGCAAAAAAAATGAGATAGAAATTAATAACTTTTTAATTATATTTATTGGACAAGTTGAAGGAAATATTTAAAATAGTGGAAGATTTGTAACATCCTATGTACATCGCGTGCACTAGATACCTGTGGACGTTGAAATTATCTGAAACGGAATAAATCAACACAGCATCCCATCCATTAGCGATAGAGCTGTTTTGCTCTGTTTATAACAGCGAGGGTATAATCATGTTAACAATTTCTGCTCGTGTGTGTGTATACAATCCGGGCAAATAGGCCGCATATTATCAGTGGTTTATGTAGCATTGACCTGAAAAATTACATGTTGAGGTATGCGTAAATTGCTCATTAATAACTTCTAGTTTAAACCGTGGAAAAGTTCGGTCTACTAATTTTTATCCTTTATTAATTTTTGTCGAAGAAAGAAGAGTTCAAGGTCAACCAGAAGAGTTCAACGGAAAGATCTCGTGATAACAGTTCGGTGGAGATCTCTAAGAATTATTGATTAAAACTGGTTTTCAAATTGGTTGTGACTAACTTCGTTGGTCCAGATGTTGTTTTGATCGACTTAGTTTTTGATTCATTGACTGGCTAACATGTACAGGGTGTCCAAATTTCAATGGGTTTGCAGGGTATCTCAGTTATTATGAAAGATAGAAAGTTGCGGCTTTCGCGAACCTGAGCTATTTTTTTGTGAAACTTACCCTCTTCGTTTTTGATATACAGGGAGTGTTTGAAATTTACGATTTTCAAACACCTCCTGTATCTCAGCTATCCGCAAACTTAGTAAAAAAGTAAAAACGGGTTCTAATAGATTTTTTCACGTAGAATCCAATGGTGCACGTAGAATTTTTCTAGTCATCACAGTTTTTGAGTTACAAACACAACTCAAATACTGAATACTCAACTTCTAAAATACTTAACTCTTTATAACTCAAAAACCGTGATGACTAGAAAAATTCTACGTGCACCATTGGATTCTACGTGAAAAAATCTATTAGAACCCGTTTTTACGTTTCCGGATAGCCGAGATACAGGAGGTGTCTGAAAATCGTAAATTT